AGCCCGCTTCCAAATACATGTTATGCTTATTCATTTTCCTTCTGAAGAGCTCATAGAGAAACCGAATATTTACACTGGGAATTCGAGAATGATTGGTGTGGTCCTTTCTAGATTGTACAGATTGTATGAGAAAAACATAACTTCATATCAGAAGAGCAAATGTTCTTAATCCATTTGGATAGTTACATACCTAAAGAACATTTCACAAAAGGCATAAACAGCAAGGAGAAAATTTTCAAAGGCATGACTGGAATTTGGGCCTCCCTAAATTTTAGGGTGTCGCACAGTGGTCTGACCTTGAAAAAGTTTTTCCGTAAATTGATATAATCTTGAGAGGCATTCATCTGCACAATATGTGGAATGCTCTGCATATTGTACCAGGTGGGGGTGGTACTAGTGCCTGACTAGAAGTGGAGGCAGATTAATTTTGTTTAGGAAGCGAGTGCAGGAGAGTACGAGGACAGCAACTGTAGCTGTAACTCCTCCTGTGGGTGAAAAACATAAAGGAATAATACAGTTGGTTTTAGTGCTCTTTGGATTAGCATGGCTTTTGCTTAGTGTGTATTTACTAGAAATTTGCTTAGCAAATTGCTGTTTAAAAAAACAACCAAAACCAACACTCGCCTATATTGTGAGCTTGCTGAAAGGATAAATGAGGAGTCTGATTCAGTTTCTCACTGTTGGAAAATGTTGCTCTTGCTGTTAAATACTGAGAGGTACTCTTGAAACATCATCTAGGTTCAGCTCTCTGCTATGTGTTCCCTGGGATAGAGAGTGGACTTCTGTTACTTGGAAAGTTCATGCAGCTTTCTTTGATGAGCATAGTGCTTGAAAGATAATAAAAGGCAAGATAAACAGAATATGCTTGCCTTTCTAGTAGCTCTTTATGGAGGTGTCTTTTATGGACAAAAAAAAAAAAAAGGAACAACTCTTGTAAACATTTCCCACATACAAGTGCAGAACAAGATATTTCAGATGTCAGCAAGTTACTTCAGATAGTAATCTTGGATTAACTATTTGCAAGATTTGCAAGTATTATCTGTCTGCACACACAGAGAGATTAATAAATGTTATCTGTAAATATTTACAAATATCTAAAATTGAAGTCATTTGTTTTATTTCCTGTGCGCTGCACAAGAAAGGATTTGATTTCTGGGCAGAAAGTTTAATTGTGCAAATATACTCAAGCCTGCTTGAAGCGGTGATTCTGTATAACTCCTTTTCAAGATCTTAGGAATCAGAGTCTTGATTCCATTGTGAGCAAAATGACTTGCCCCTTGTTATGGCAAAATGTGTTCTGATTTATTTGCTGTTCGTTGCTTACGTATGTTGTGTCCCTTTAAAAGGGAGCAGCTGAGGCAGTAGCAAAGACTACCAGTTTAATTTGCCCAACTGCTGTGGTCAGTGGCTTTCAGAGAAGGAACATGCTAATCTGGGAGAGTTTTCCAGAGCATAGATGTGGCAAGCAAAAGAGACAGCAACTGGTCTGGTGTGAGAGGGGGAAAGTAATAAAAATCAAAAAGACGCCCAAACCTTTCAATACAGAAGGGACTGATGAGAAGAACAGGGACCATATTTGTAGTCTTGACCACAAGACAGGTAGAAAAAAAAAGCTCTTTTCCTCAGTATCCTCGTAGGAGCTGTGCTGAGTTTGTTGAAAAACAGAAAGTTACTGAAGGGTGGTCAGGCTGAGGAAGAAGCTCGGGATAATTACTCCTTGTGCAATGAAACAATAGGCAAAATTTGTTTACAAAGTGTTTTTTATTTTGTTGTGCTTTTGCTTTTTAGTAAAGACTGTCTTTCTGGATTCAGTTCTCATAAAACTGAGTTTTAAAGAAAAATAAAGTTCGTCTTTTCAGATGTTTGCCTCCAGGAGGATACCAGGACTGATCCACATCAGAGTGCTAGCTGACTTGAGGTTCAGTCACACCACTCACTTGTGTAATTCCAACACTTAGGACCTAGTATTTCTTTCCATTTCAGTTGTGTAAGACGAGCAAGACCTTCTGCTCCATGAAGGCACCGAAATTAAGAGATTGATTATGAGTGTATAATTCCAGTGTTTATATCTCTCACCATTGAACACGGGATGAGTGTAGGACAACTAGAACTCTAACCTGTGCTCCGCAGGTGTGAGTCGAGTAGGTTGGGATAAAAGCCAGTTAAGCGGTGTTGCCCTGCTTTACGTCCATCAAGTTTTAGATCCCAGAGAAGGAATACTTGTCTAGATGGAGCGGTAATCTGATCTTGTGTAGCAAATCTAATTCAGTAATCATTCCCCTCGCTGACTCTCAGTGAGGTACTCAAGAATGAATATAAATAATGTAATGCTTTTGAAGTTATTGATTGCAATTATGTGAATGATGATGAACAGATTAGCACCACCGCATCACAATGACAATGTTCCTCAACCTCCCCCCAGTCAAATGACGTGGCTCTGTAAACTAGTGCACAAACTTAAAACAAAGATGAATAGGTGTTACGAATTAACCTTGAAGTATGTATTTTATCTTTATAATAAATGACTTCATGCATCTTCTCCCTGAGATCTAAAAAAAAAAAATAAAAAATAGTTTTCTGAAGGGAAGGATGACTTCATTTGTTATTCTGATACTTCTGTGACAAATTATACAACACACAGATGCATCACTGAACACAAAAATTTGCATGAGTTGGTGCTAATTATATGTATTTTATTTTTTTAGGAAAGTGATGGGAGCTTACTATCAGATATACTATGCTAGAAATGTATGGAAATACTGATAGACTATTGATCATGGAGGCATTAGTTTGTAGAAAAAATTAACAAGCAAGCTTACCTGCAATGTAACATACCTTTTTGAGACATACCTTTCACTGAGTTTTCTAGAACGTGTCTATGAGACATGTCACACTGTTCAAAGAAGCTTAATTTAGGTGTGAGTGTACTAGCTCAGGAGGTGGACTGAGTATCTGTAGGGAGCTGCTCAACCGAAGTCGAGCAGTTCTGAGCAGAGCATGTTTGCATATCACATCACTGATAGATTATAACACATTCATGTCCCACACTTGGGGAAGAGAGCTAACGGTGCTGTGCCCAATGAAGAGCTACCTCTTGGACCTGCGCAATGTACTGCTTTGTGTAGGACAAATATAATTCGTATTCAGCAGGCATATATCAGAAACCACCATTTTATGCCCCAGGGTGCATGAGTAAGATGCTTTATATTGTTTGTTTTGAAGAAGAGAATAGGGGGTTTTGTCTGCTTCTTTTTAACTTTTGTTAACAGCTCTTTTAGCTAAAGTACTATTTTTCTTCTGTCTTTGTATGACTTAGAACCCAGCATGGGAAAGAGCAAAGCTCAGTCACGTAAGAAGAGGCTGTACAAGCCAGAACAAAGCATCTAAATTGTTTGTCTCTCATTTGCTCGCTTCCTGATTTTTAAAACAATGAACCGTGCAGAATGTTTTCAGCAAGTGAAAAGGTAGTGGAGTGCCAACCGTACAAATCAATCCTGTTAAAGCTCAGATCAGTTTTAATATTTTTTTAACCAAAGCTCAGCATGCAGTCTCTGAATGCAAATAACTTTATGGCTATTGAAGAATGTGTTGGGCATCATTACCAGGTTTAACTCCCCTAAAAAGGAGCTTCCCTTCTTGTGAGTACAGAGTGTGAATCTTTTCTGGAGTACAAGGACAGAAGCTATTGAAGATCAGTATGTATCAAGGGGAGGAAACTGAAGAAATATTAGTCTAGTAGATATGGGAAGCTGGTATTTGAAAAGGGTATGCTTCCAGAATGTCAATATTCCCTTACAGTCTGGGAAATAATATGAACCAGAAAAATTATTCATCTTAAATACAGGACCCTGGGCTTCTGTGAATTTTATTTGGAATTCAATCTGAAACTACTCAACATTTTTCAGAATTATTTTCATAGAGATGTAATCGTAGTATAATCTCATGATGATTTAGGCATTTCTGAGCCAGGGATATTGTCAGCTTCTTATTGCTGCCTGTACTATTTTATATGTAAATTCATAGAATATTAAAATTGCAGTCAGAATTGGGGTACTCTTTTATTGGGTCCTGCGTAAAGCTCCAGAACTAGCATATATAAAATGTTTTGATTATGAGTGTGGCAAAATATATTCGTTTGATGAGTCACACTCCTCTGCTTAACCTTTCTTATTGGATATGTTTTCTTATATTTTTATTACTGTCCCTCTCCAGAAAAAAAAAAAACAAAACACAAACCAGCATTAAAGGACGCATGCAAAATGTTAGTTTTAGGACTAGCCTAACTTAATCTGAAGCTGGATACTTCCCTAGAGATTCTGCCAGGGCTGTCAAACAAAGGACAAGACTAGTTACCCAGCACTCAGATGCAAAGACATGCTACAAGGAAGTATGTTAATGAGAAGCTTGTAGTCCCTCTGTAGTCCCCTCTCGATCCCTCTGGTAAGCCTCTATGTGATTCTACGTGACACACACGTGGTACACTAAATACAAAATACAATAAAAGACTTTAGGATACTCTAGCTAAACGGAATAGTATGTTTAGGTGTTGGCATCCAAAATTAAAATCAAAATACAGATTAAGATTCATGGACAAGGAAAGATTTAGGCCTTCCAAAAGGGAGATACAAAATATTACGATGCTGAATGTATACATTATATATATAGTATAATATATTAATAAAATACATCTGATTGCTGCCTAGCTCAGAATGAACTCTATGTGGATATTTTTTTCTTCCTCTAAGCAAAATTCTTAGCTGCTTTGGGAAGCATAATTACAAAGACAACTGCCATTCCAGAAATAAAGTCATAAGACTGAGGGGTTTTTGCCTCTTTCAGGGACTTGGAATCAGTTAATTAGATCAGTGAAGTAAGTTTAATAATCGACAAAACTTAAGAACAATTTCAAGTGTTTTTCAATCTCTGAAGAAAATCCAATAAGCATTTGAAAGATGAAGTAAATGTGGAATCCTAAAAGGCTTCTTATTTCTTTCTCACAGAATTCTAGCTTTCTCTCCGAAGCTATTTTTCCTGTATATACAACAAAAACTGAAGAGCTGGATCCCTCCTTTAGCCTGCATGAGACCATTGCAAAGGTAACAGAAATGGAGATCTCATTGATACATGCTTTCCTTCACATGACCAAATTTGAATTTATTAATAATTTTGAAAGATACTGTATTTTTTCCTGTGACTACTTTGAATGTAGTTAAAATTGTGGAGTTTTTTTCATTGAGATTCACTTTTGGAGTGGTGAATTTAATGTTAACATTTTCTTTAATGTTACGTTGGTCAACTTGTGTTATCAAAACACTTTTTGTCTGAAAATGCTTCATTTTATGTGATTCAATTGTATGGTTCACATTAAACATACTGGCATGAGTACAGGTCATTGAGCCCCAGTAGACGGCAGGAAGCAGCAGGTTTGTTGCTGTCAGTTTTGTCAGTGAAGAGGGCTCTCTGAGAGCACCTTCACGTGCACAGATACCTGGTTTTATGAGCTGTCCCAGTGATGCTCATGTAGGAGGAAGGGGTGGCCGTCCCGTGATTCTGGAGAGTGCTCTACAGAGGGGACACTCCCAAAGTTAATGTGTTCTGACTCCCCTCTTGTCGCTCCGTATAATACTCCCTCCACGTTATTTATTAATACAGTCAAAATTACCCCTTGCTCTAAAGTGCTCTTTCTTCGCTCTGTCCACTCAGCAAGCCCTGTTTCTACAAAGAGACAGGACTACAAATGAGTCCAACTTAATTGATTCATACAGTTCTTATAATTGGATTTCTTACAAACTAGAGCTATGTCGACCTCACAAACAGATTTCTTTGTTTATTCAGAGCTACTTCTTTTGGAAAAGCAGCTGCTGTTGAAACATTTATTTTGGCAACAACAAAAATAAATTCACAAAGATCAGCAATGTATAGATTTAGCATGTAGGCAGATCAGCATCTTTGGCAAAATAGACAGTGACTGATCTTGGGAGTTTTAGGTTGGTTTTTTTGTTTGTTTGCTTGGATTTTGGGTTGGTGGTTTGTTTTTTTTTTGAAAAAAGAAGCACATATTCCTAGACATGGTTTTGAAGCTTGGCAGAGTCTGACACTTAAGGGACAATCACAAGACAAGAGTCTTTTCTGAAGCCCTTTTAATGGAATCGATGTTTTTTAAGCCATCCTTGGTGCCAAAGTGACTGAAAAGATTCACCATATTTCTTCCTAAAGCCTGAGGGGAGTAAGTATGTGGTTATTTACTGTATAATTTTACTCATTAGTGTGTGATGGGCCATGTGTAATCTGAATAATCTGTATTTTAGTATTTGCTCTATAATGTTGACTAACACAGAAAAATATTTATTAGGTAGTTGACTTGAAGCATTTTGATCCTGTTTACATCATTACAAAATATTTTAAGTAGGTTCATTGAGCATTAGTTTTCTTTGATAAAACTTGATGAAGATTGCACTAGGATACGATTGTATTTCCACTTTGCTTTTCAGACTGTAGCCCAGGATGCTTTTATAAAGATGTATAGTATATGCAGCAGTGGAGTGAGATCTTCAGCTGGTAATTTTGTCATCTTTAGCTTAGCTTAATTGATCTTAAATTATTTTCTGAATAGCTTGAAGAGCAAAAGTTTTCTAAATTTTATCTATTGTTTACTCTTTTTTTTGTACTTAAATTACAGACCTCTTGGTTCCCTCTATTCCCCCCTCCAAACTTCTTCTCAGAGTATTAAGCCAGCCATTGTCTTTCCCTTCTCCTGCAGGATGGCCTTTCCTTTGCCCCTGCTTTATCCTAGTGTTTGTCATCCGTTTCAATTTGAAAGCATTTTCTTTGCATGAATGTCCAGAAATGTATGCAGTATTTTATATAAAGCCTTAATGGGGCTTCGTGTGGTAACATTTATCCAGCTTTGTATCTGAGGTGATGTTGTGTCACCTTTTCCTTGGTAAGATCTTCTTTCAGCCTGACATGTGATTCTAGTGGCTGCATGTTAGTGCAAACCAGCTGCTGTGGAGATACAAACCTTTTAAACAATAGCTATTCTACACCATTCCATTGTTGATCACTTATCTATGGTCAGTGTGTGAGTGCTAGCAGAATTCTACCCATTATACTGTGCACATGAATGATATACAATGCTTGCTGCTTCAACAATATTTGGTTCTACAAAAAGTGGATTATTAAAAATATTTTTTTGCATTTATCTGTTATTGTGTATGCATGATGCTTGTCCTTAAGCCAGTATAGTTAAAAATAAATACATTTTGGGTGGAAGAGAGAAGTGGATAAAAATACAGAAACATTATATATCCTGAAGTACCATTTAATCTTGTATCTTTGAAAACAGAGTTTTGTTGACTTTTATAAGCAAGATTAAAGGGACAACACTTTTTTTATTTTGACTTCTAAGTTGCAAAAGCAAATGGTGTGCATGAAACTACAGAAGTTCTGATACAATTATCTGAGCACCTCTGAAACCTTACAGTTTGAGTGATCAAGACTTATTTTTACGTTAAAGACTTCAGTAAGAAGTCCTGTACTTGGATATAGGATTTAAAGGAAATGCTATAATTTATTTAATTAAATAAGTACTCTTAATGCTATTTCTTAATCTGAAATCTTCATATTTTTGTCGTGGTATTCTGAACAGATGAGGCCAAGGTATATTCAAAAGATTAGAAATCTCTAGCTTTATTTTAAATTACTCATATTTGAAAAAAAAAAAAAAAAATCCATCGTGTGAAGTGAGCTTGTTAGAATTTACACTCCTGAGTTGGAAGTTTATGCTCCTCAACAGGCACATGCCAACTGACTGTCTAGGTTCCGTTGCAATTGCAAGTAAAGCAGGTATCATAACTGCTGCAGAAATTTTAAGTTTTAATTTTGACAGACGTTTCAGAGAAAACTTTTTATGTTAAAATAAACTACATATTCCAATATAATAAATTCAACATTTTACACTTTCGTTGGCTCTTTCTCTCAGAAATGGTTTATGAAAATATTTGAAACTGTAACTTTTTATTCTTATTTGAGACCAAACATATTCTAGTTAATTTTTCACACGTTGGAAATGCTGTATTCCAACCTGCTTTATTCAGATACATATCTGGTTATTTTATCACTGTTTATCCAAATATCAAATATTCAAATCCTTCTTTACAGAACTAGAGTGATACAAAACACTGTTAACCAGCTATAATGACTTTGAAGACTATGAAAAACATAGAATCACAGAACAGTTTGGGTTGGAAGGGACCTTAAAGACCATCCGGTTCCAACCCCCCTGCCATGGGCAGGGGCACCTTCCACCAAACCAGGTTGCTCCCAGCCCCATCCAACCCGGCCTTGAGCACTGCCAGGGAGGGGGCAGCCACAGCTTCTCTAGGCGACCTGCTCCAGTGTCTCACTATGCCCTTTTTAAATTCATTTGCATTCTGATTTCCATAACACTCCATAGCAACGTTTCCCACAATTTAAAACACACCCACCCCTACCTTACTTTAAACTTGCTTGCTTGTTTATCTCACTAGGTTCTTTTATGCCTTTGGAATGGGAAATAATAAACAGACGTGCTCTATTTACTTTTTGATACCAGTTGCTTTCTTTTCTAAACTGTGTTCTTTGACTGTAGTAACCAGTTTGAGCTGCCCTCATAGGTAAGTCATTCCTGCCTAATCCTGCCTAATCCTCTCTACTTACACAGTTCTGTGGCATCTCTTTTGCTTTAAAGGTAATCAGAACTATGTACCGTATTCAACATGAATCACTGTGTATATATAGACTCTGTATGATATTTTTTTCCCTAATACTTCCCCAGTAATCTTCAACATTCCGTTGGCCTTTTAGACTGCTGTTGTATAGCTGTATACTGTATTCAGTCTTGGTAGCAGAGGTGTGCTTGTTGTTCAGTTTGATGAAACTCGTTTGCCACTGCATTTCACTCGCAGTGTGCGTTGCTTGTCTGGCTGCTGAAGCTGGTGGAAAACCTTGTGCTGGTTTTGTCAGGAAATTATTTGAGGCCCTTCATCTCTCTGAGGGAAATAGGGCTTTAATGATTTTTTTTTATGTGAATGGCTTGATACTAAGTAACCATGGAAAAATCTCAACATAAATTTTTACATGAGGTTCAGTGTAAGAACAGATAATTGGTTAATTGTGGCTTTTGCTCTCTGAAGACAGTAGTTACCTTAATTCCATGAACTATGGAACGTTGAAAAGGAGGAGATTGCTGAATGTGGCAGGTAAAATGAATAAGAAATGTGCAGCTATTAAGGAGATAGATCTGTAATCTGAGTGCTTAGAAGATCTGATTTGTCAGACCACTTGTCAGATCAATTTATCTTAGATCTTGGAAGCTTAAAGGTGGATTTAGGGTATATTGCTGTAAGGCCCAGGCTGATCTGAAAAATTCAGAGAAGAAAGAGAAATATGTAGGCTTCCTAGTGGTGAAGAACCAAGACATTCATTACAGCAGCGTGTTGCAGTACAAAATTTAGTGGTATCTGAAGTGAGATTTGCAGACCTTGTAATTTCAAGTGTGTTTTATAATACATATATCAAGTATTAAAATGGAGAAATATGTGCCAGTGTGGCACAGAATGGATTTTCCCATCAGACCAGAGGTCAGGTGAAAGTCCATTGTTATCAAATGCATACTCAGAAAAGTATGTGCTGTTTTCCAGTAAGTTTCATTAGGGTTATTCGGCACAGTATTTCATGGTAACTAGTCAATTGGAATTATTAACAAGTTTGAAAATACTTTTGTGTTATGAGATATGCTCACTAGAGAAGCCTGATAAGACTTGGATTATGCAGTTCTAAAAGCTTTAATGGCAGTCCCCCAACAGGGAGTGCCACTGGAGCCACTTACCCAGTATCAGCCATGGAATAATAATCTTTTATTGATTTTTACTTTGGCAGGCACCACAGTGTTGAAAGGTATGCCAAAAGTGACATAATTGGTTTTATGATGAGTTATGGGTGCTGACAGATAACTCTTAAGAAAATTATTAGTGATCCTGATTATTCTACACTTCAGCGATGGAGCTGCATAAAGAAGAACTACCATAATGCAATTAATTTCTAAACATTAAATAAA